CCTTACCTACTGTGAAAACACGTCTTTGTCAGGACTGATCAGCGGAGCCTGAAATTTCTCTTAGAACAGCGGATGGTGACGGAAGAGCATCAGAGGTGGTTGTCCAAGTTACTGGGGTACGATTTTGAGATTCAGTACAGGCCAGGGGTGGAGAACAAGGCGGCCGATGCCTTATCCAGATGTATGGAGGAATTACAGACAGTCGCTCTATCCGTGCCTTGGATGCTGGATTGGGAGGCCATCAGAGAAGAGAGCGCCAGAGATGAGAGTTTGGGAAAGATCAGGACGGATTTACTGAAGGAACCAGATAGCCACCCGGGATACTCCATGGAGGGAGACAAGCTGCTGTATCAGGGGAGGTTTGTGATGCCTCGGACGTCGATCCACATCCCAAACCTACTCCATGAGTTTCATGGGAGTGCAATAGGGGGCCATTCAGGCGTACAAAAGACATACAGGAGGCTAGCTGGGGAGCTGTACTGGAAGGGGATGCATAAAGATGTAGAGGAGATGGTAGCCAGATGTGAGGTCTGTCAAAGGAGTAAGTACCTAGCTATGTCACCAGGAGGATTACTACAGCCTTTAGCTTTGCCGGGTAGAGTATGGGAGGAGATCTCTATGGATTTCATAGATTGGCTGCCCCGTTCAAAGGGGTTCACAGTGATCTTAGTAGTGGTGGACAGGTTGAGCAAGTATGCCCATTTCATTCCCCTCCGACATCCCTACACCGCAATAACAGTAGCATCAGCCTTTATCAGAGAAGTGATCAGATTACACGGGGTGCCAGAGGCGATCGTATCAGATAGGGACAAGGTGTTCCTCAGTCATTTCTGGAATGAGCTATTCAAATTGCAGGGAACAGTGCTAAAGAGAAGTACAGCCTACCACCCACAGACGGATGGACAGACGGAAGTAGTCAACAGGAGCTTGGAGACGTACCTCAGATGCTTTGTTTCAGAGACACCAAAGCTATGGACGAAGTGGCTATCCTGGGCTGAGTACTGGTACAACACGTCATTTCACTCGGCTTCACAAATGACCCCATTCAAAGTGTTGTACGGACGGGATCCCCCACACTTGGTACACTTTGGGAGCAGTAGTACTCCTGTTTCATCAGTAGAGGAGTATTTGGAGGAGAGGGACCGAGTGTTAGAGGAGTTAAAAAGGCACTTGCTGAGGGCGCAGCAAATCATGAAGAAGCAAGCAGATGGGCATAGAAAAGATATCCATTTTGAGGCAGGGGATAAGGTGTTCTTGAAGCTCCGCCCATACAGATAGAAGACAGTCGCTAACCGGAGGAATGAAAAGCTAGCTCGAAGGTACTTTGGTCCTTATGAAGTGATAGAAAAGATCGGGGCAGTAGCATATCGACTGAAATTACCCCCATCGGCGACTATACACCCGATTTTTCACGTCTCACAGCTGAGAAGGGTCATTGGTGATCACATCGCCATTCCCAAGCTACCGCCGACACTTACGGAGGAGTTAGAGGTGATCCTGGAACCTTTGGAGCTGAGGGGTGTTTGCAAGAAAGAATATGAAACTAAGGAAGTGTTGATCCAGTGGAAGAACCTTCCTGACTACGAGGCCAAGTGGGAGCCATACGAGATGGCGAAACAGCAGTTTTCAGATTTTCACCTTGAGGACAAGGTGATTCTTTGGGAGGCCGGTCCAACAGGGACCGGTCCGCTTCTATGCGAGACGCCTGGGCGGAAACGGCAGCAAGGGGGCGGAACCATGAGTCCACGTGGGCTTGAGAGGGGGAGTTTAGGAGGGAAATTTTGAACATGAGAGGCTGTTTTAGGAAGTTTATGATTGTCTTTTATGATTAATTTTGTATAATTAGGAGTTGGGGGGGGGGGGGAATTAGCTCCTCATCTTGAATTTGAATTCTCTTTTGAGATCTAGGGTTTGTGTGCTTGGGCTCTTGGCTTCGCCGGAGAACTTTGGAGAGTTGTTCTTCCTCTCGGATTGAAGAACAAATTGTATCTTTGCTATTTTCATTGTCTACTAGTAAAATACAAGTGTTTTCTCCTCATCTCCTGCAGTTTTCCTCTACTTTTCTACTGTTTTTGGCTGATTTCCTGCTGTGGACAGCAGTCCGCTTTGAGATTTGTTGCTAAAGTGATTAGGGAATACTTGAAATCAAGTATTTCCTATCAGTTTCCTTCAAATTATCCCTTTTGCATAATATTTATTTTATGTGCAGAAGAAGATTAAGTATCAAATAACTATAGCTGATTAATTGTCATCAACATTAGCCTTGTCTTAATTATTTGATTTCCTCTTTCTAAATCCCCCTTTCTTCTCTATTGCATATTTTATGACATCTGGTTTTATTTTGCACTCCTATGAACAACTTCTGTCCATGCTATCTTTTGATTAAATCCTTTCTCCTTTCATATCAATGTTATAGTGCATCTTTTATCCTCTATGGTGTAAGATCAAAACACCTAAATCTATTGTACAATATCTTTTCTTGAATACATGCTATGCCACTGCCTCCTTAATATAATCATCACTTATTCTATCATACAATTTATTATAATACATCTATCTTAACATTCTTATTTTTATACAATCAATATTTATGTCAATCACTCCTTTGTTAATTGTTACCCCAAGACTTAATTCCTTATGATTTAATGGTTAGTCTTCCTGTAGTTCTATCAAATCAATCTTTAAATTTTCATAACATTCACTTGTCACAAAGTATTTAAAAAAAAAAAAAGACTTAACTTCAGAAGATATATTATCATTGTATCCACGTTTTTTTGTAATAAATCCAAGTAATAAATCAAATCAAAATATGACTGGCCTGATATTCCAATAATATTGATTGATAGTTAATAGAAACGGACTGAAATTCAAAAATATTAACTTTGTTATACTAAACTTAAGCCCCTTATTATATAAAAATTACATAAATTGGAATAACTATATTTTACTTGAATAAGAACTTTACCTAACAGGACTCTCATCTTCAAATAGCATTCAAAAAGGTAACTCATTTCCAATATTTTTTGTAAGCGTTTCTAGAATTTAACCCAGAAAAGGATTTCACATGATTTGGGTAGTATTTATGTAAATGCAAATCACATGCAAGTATTCAAAAGAATTTAATGTCTTCAAGCAGTCTAAAAACCAAAAAGGTGTGATTCGTCCATCCAGATCCTATTTGGAACCAAATCATAACAGCTATAATGTCTTTTCTACTAAATATCGATATGCATACCCGGAATTCCAAAACTTAGCATGCACAACTAAGCATTCAGGTCCGTTTGCTATTTATGGAAGCTTAGTTCATTTCCAAATGAAAAACCAATATAAGAGGCCAGACATCCTCAAGCTTCCATAAAGATGACTAACAGATATCTGAACCCATAAGCTTTATGAAGATCTGATTATATTTTTGTAAGTAACATTTTATAAAAAAAATAATAATAGAGTCTCGGAAAAAAGTAGAGAGAAACTCACCATGCTTCTGTTTTTTGGCATCTTGACTGTCAAAAAAATTATCTGGAAGAGTGGATGCAGCCCGCGATTCCGGAAAGTTTTGTTGCCTTTCAAGGTGTGAATTATCAGGCGTACTTTGCCTAGCAGCAGTAGCCTTGATATTCTCAATAGCCTGATTTGATATAGCCAATATTAGAAGATAAGTTAAATCATCAATTAGAGATGTAGGTCCCTGAAAAAGTTACATGTCCAAAAGAAAAAGAACGAAGGGGGTAAATAACTCAAGAGCTTGAGGTTTCCAACATCCTGCATCTAAATTATGACCTCTAGCTGCTCTTTAAAGCCTTATAGAAACTTACTGTCCAGCGTCCAGTCTCCTACGAATGAAAATTGCCTATCACAATTCATTCCATCAAGTTGATATTAGGTAAGATGGGACATCACATTACCCAAGAAATCATTCAGGTAGGTTTGCCCCGGAAACATTTCCTTATTTTGAAAACCCTTTTAAATGGGAATAGGATAAAAGGACTCAATCTCATGAGCAAGATTTTTTTTTTTTTTCTTTTCTTTTAAGTGGTGCTTTCTGCAAACCTAATTAAAATTTTGAGGCACAAGAAACAGCAATTAGTTCAGAGTAAGAGAGAGCAAATAACATGGCAATGGCAATGGCAATGGCAATGACGGCGACGCCACTAACAATAAATCCACTACATCAAATGAATTAATTTGTTCATTAGACTAGATGCAGGACTTCTTGGATCTGGGATTTTCTATTACAGCCATAAGATGTAATATGTGAAAATCAAACATATGGAATTATAATTCACAAACCATTAAAATTTCTCTCTTTGATGAAAATCAAAAGCACACATAATTCAAACTAAAAGATGATTTTATAATTATCGAATGAAATTAAGATCATGGAAATTTCACGTCCATTAGAAATCACACCACAATTAAAAAGCAAGATAGTACAAGTTTTGATCAAATCCAATCACAAATAGAACAATAATTAAAACTGAAAAATATTTAAAAAAGAAAAAAAAAAAAAGAAAAAGAAATCACCAAAGTATCAATCAAGATCTCGAGCCAAGATAAGGAGATGACTTCCTCCAGAATATAATAGTCACAAATTGCACCACCATAAAAAGATTCACATCCAACTAGCCCTCTATTAGACCGGTCCACTGGACCGATCCAGCCGGTCCATACGGGACCGGGAACAGAGGCGGAACACTTCCGCCTCTCCTATACGCCCGACCGAGCGGCCAAAACCCACGGATCAATTTAGGAAGGATTTTTGCGGGAGTTTACAAGGGAAATTAAATGTAGGGATTGTTTAGAGATTTCCTTTTGAATTGTATACATTAAATAGTTTGTTTTTCCTAGGGATAGGGCATCTGTAATTTGGCTGAAATAGGAGGTCTCTTAGGTTTAGATTTTGGGCTCAAGATTCATCTAGAGATTAAGAGAGAACGGTCCTCCTCTCGAATAGAAGATCACTTGTATCTTGTTGTTTTCTTTCGTTAGTTTCTTTTCTCAATAAATAATGTTGTTTTCCTTGGATTTTCCTCAATATTGTGGATTTTTCTCGTTGTTTTCGTCAATATTGATAGAATTTACTTGAAATCTTCAAGTAATTCCTATCAAATTAGTATCAGAGCAAGTCTTAAGACCATCGGGGGCTGAATTTCTGAAATTTTAACAGTGAAATTTCATCTAGAAGAAGGAACAATTGCTGATTTCTAGAGCAAAAATCAGATTTTTTTTATGTCAGCCAAGAAGGTAAATGCGTTAGAGGAAAGATTGGAAGGAGAAATGGGCCAAATTAAAGCTATGATGGAAGATCGAATATCATCCGTGGAAGACAAGGTTTATGATCTCCATGCGATGATGAAGTTATTGGGTAATCAAATACAAACGACGGCATTGGAGGCGAAAGAACCGGTAGGAAAAACGATAAATTTTGATTGTCGTGGGAGGGATGATGAAGTGGAAATCATGGAGGAACAAGGTGAGAGGTATGGAGAAAGGCATGGTTATGGGGGGGTAGGGGTGTAAGTGAGCCGAGCCGGCTCGAGCTCGACTAGTTTATGAGCACGCGAGCCGAGCTTATCGAGCTCGTGAGTCGAGCTCGAGTTCTAGCTTACCAGCTCGCGAACCGGCTCGTTAATTATTTATTAATTAAAATAATATATAATATGTATTATAATATATTAAAATGTATTAAAATATATGTTAATAAATAAAATAATATATAAAACATGGTATAATATATGTTGGGAGTTGGGACGGACACAAGGACGACAGAGTTGCTTTTTTTTTGGAAGATGAACGTTACTTCAATTAAAATAATATATATAATATATTATAATATGTTAAACGGTTGCTCTAGCTATAATACTATGGCTTGTCAAGTGACAGCTGCTCATGCTTTAAAGTACACAGTTGCTTTAAGTACATGCGAGAAAAATGGTCACAAGCAGGAGAGATGAAAAAAACGTGCACAAGCGGGAAAATGCAAAATTGAATCGAGCGGCTCGCGAGCCGGCTCAAACTCGATTTTAATGGGACGAGCTCGAGTTTGAGCTCGTTTTTTGAGATCGACTCGAGCTCGCTTTTCAACTAACAAGCTGAGCTCGTTAGTACTAAAACTCAACTCGACTTGTTTACACCCCTATGGGGGGGTAAGACTCAAGGGGTGCTGGTTGGAAAAGAAAAGAAGGGGAATACGGGAGAAGGGGTGTTGATTTGAAGAAAAGAGGGGGGAAAGCGAAGAGGGCTTCATGTATGAACGTAGGAGAGAAGATCGGGGTACTTTGGGAGGCCCAAGCACTTGGGAGAGGGGAAATTATTGTGGAATAAGAGGAAACGGGGGGAGATCAGAAGGTAAGCAAACTAAATATACCCATTTTTTAAGGTGAGGACGTGCATGGGTGAATTTATAAGGTGGAGAGATACTTCGTCGTAGGCTAACGGAGGAGGAGAAGTTGACTGTCGTAGGCTTATGTTTGGAAGGGAATGCACTGTCCATGTACCAGTGGAGGGACCAGAGGAGACCCATTCGGAGTTGGAGAGAATTCAATAATTGTTTATTAGAACGTTTCCAAACCGACAGGGGAGGAGACTTCTATAAGCAGTTCTTTGCTTTGGTGCAGGACGGATCAATAGCAGAATACCGAGAGCGGTTTGAGTATCTGGCCAACAGGGTGGAGTGATTCTCAGAGACAGCCTTAGAGAGGAACTTTCTGAAAATGCTCAAATCAGATATTAGAGCTGTATTGAAGGTACTGAGGCCCCATGACTTGGGAGAGGCCATGGAGTTGGCACAGTTGATGGAGAATCAGAGGCACCATGAGAGGAGAGTCAGGAGCAATAGTTCAGGAGGCTCTTATAGGACGACGACCACTCTTCTAGCACCCAAGGGGCTTACATCAGGCAACATTAATGAGACTCCTAGAGAGAATCCAGCAGGAGGAAGTGGGGGAACTTAAAAAAAAAAAACTAACGGAGAGGGAGATGCAAGAGAAGAGGGCGAAGGGACTATGTTTCAGATGTAATGAGAAGTATACTCCAAGGCATAAGTGTAGTGATCGAACTCTTTAGGTTCTCACTGTCTGTGATGATAAAGAAAATGAGAAGGGAGGTGAGAGTATGGGTGGGGGGGGGGGGGGGGGGAGGGAGGAGAGAGAGAGAGAGAGAGAGAGAGGACAAGCTGCATTTGGACATGATGGAGGTCTCCCTAAATCTAGTGGTGGGATTCACTCCGAATCATACCATGAAGATGAAGGATGAAATAACGGACAAGGAGGTGGTGGTGTTGATTGACAGTGAGGCTACTTACTATTTCATCTACAACCAGGTCATGGACTAATTGGGGGTGACATTGGTGGATACATGGTGTTATGGAATGATGATGGAGAGGGGTCAGAAAATATGTAGGGGAGTGCTGCTGACCATATAGGGGGTCCAAGTGAGGGAGGATTTTCTCCCATTGGAGTTAATCTTGGGGATGAAGTGGTTGTAGACCTTAGGGGACACCAAGGTCAACTGGAGAGTATTGACGATGGAGTTGATCACTTAAACCCAAGATGAGGAGCCTACAGGAGGTGGGGGAAGGTTATCTTATGGAACTACATAGGATGTAAGGGATCAGAGTGGAGGGCGAAGACGTTCCTCTTTCAGTACAGCCATTGATTCAGCAGTTCAGTGAGATATCCCAGCCACCAAAAAAGGTTACCTCCTCTGTGGGAACACGAGCATGATATCATCTTGAAGGATCTTGAAGGAAGTAGTTTCACCCACATTGTTCATCCGTATCGTCATCCTCAAATCCAGAAGGATGATATCAAAAAATTGATTAAGGAGATGCTAGAAGTAGGGATCATTCAATCCAGTATCAATCTATTTTTCAGTCCAGTGTTATTGATCAAGTGCTTAGCAGTAGTTTCCTTCGTTCCACCTTGAGGACAATGTGGCACTTTGGGAAGGGAGTATTGTTAGACTAGTCCAATGGACCGGTCCAGCCAGTCCATACGAGATCGGTCCGTGAGAACAGAGGCAGAACACTTTCTCCTCTCCTGTATGCCCGATCGAGCCACCAAAACCCACGAAGCAATTTAGGAAGGATTTTTTAGGGAGTTTAGGAGGGAAATTGAATGTAGGGATTGTTTAGAGATTTCCTTTTGAATTGTATGCATTAAATAGTTTGTTTTTCCAAGGGTTAGGGCATTGGGAATTTGGCTGAAATTGGAGGTTTCTTAGGTTTAGGTTTTGGCCTCTAGATTCGTCTAGAGATTGAGAGAGAATGATCCTCCTCTCGAATAGAGGATCACTTGTATATTGTTATTTTCTTCCGTTAGTTGCTTTTCTCAATAAAAATGTCTGTTTTCCTCAATATTGTAGAGTTTTCTCACTGTTTTTGTCAATATTGATAGAATTTACTTGAAATCTTCAGGTATTTCCTATCACCCTAAAAAAAAAATAAACATTAAGAAAGATAAATATTTAAAAAAATTATTATTGAAAACTATCTTTTACATGACTCAAATATCTCTATTTTATATAATCACATAAACCCCTCCTCAAATAACAAAGAAACCCTATAATACATTTGGCAATTCTGAATCAAGAAGCACGTTGAAATCTTGAGACTACAGTATCCAACCC